CCCCCGCTCTCTCCCCATAGCCCTGTATCCATCCCCAAACTAATCCCACTGCCCCCCCGCTCTCTCCCCATAGCCCTGTATCCATCCCCAAATAATCCCACTGCCCCCCACTCTCTCCCCATGGCCCTGTACCCATCCCCAAACCGATCCCACAAGGTACCTGGGCCTTCGATTGTTGCCTGTAGATCTGTGATATCTTCCTCGTTGGTATAAATCTTGATTCCTTCGGGGGGCTCCATGGTGAGGGAGGACAGCTCCCTCCACACTTGGCGAATGATGTGAGGTGGGAGGTTCTCCATATTGGAATTCTGATGGAGGGAAACAGAGACAGAGGGAGAGGGAGAGGGTCAGACAGAGAATCGATAACTACCACGCGCTCCCTTACTCTCCCCTCCAACCTTGTGGTCAGAAACAAGGGGGCGGATTCAATGATGGTAACACCATCGAACATCAGGGAGGGAAGGGGGGTTTAAACAGTGAGATTCTCTCTTATTGGTGATGGTCGTATCCTGGTATTTGTATGGCGCGAACGTTACTTGCCACTTGTCAGCCCCAAGCCTGGATATTGTCCAGATCTTGTTACTTTTGGACACAGACTGCTTCAGTATCTGAGCTGGGGGGCCGCGGGGTTTGGATTCACACACAGCTTCAGTACCTGGAGGGAGGGAAGGAAGGGAGGGAGGGGGCTGGGGCGCGAACAGGGCCGAACCTTGTCAAACCATTAGCGAAAGTCCCTCCGCCTGACCTTATGATGGAGGGAGGGTCATCGACGGAGCGGCTGGAGATGGTTTGGTGGCCGGGGACACTACCCTGAGGAACTCCTGCAGGAGATGTCCCTGGAGCTGAGATGACTGATTGCACCCGTCCCCCCACTCCTCCCCAAAACAACCCACGACCACCTTCCCCACCAGGCCTGGGACGACCCCGACCAGCCAGGGGCACGTGTCCCCAACTTCCCACCGACTCCAGAGCCCATGTGTTTGGATACAACCAGACTGGATAGAGGGGAACCAGTCGATGTGTTGTATTGGGATTTCCGGAAAGTGCTCGCTCAGGTAACTGACTGTAAGCCATAAGAACTGTGCTCAGGGTGTTGGGGGTAGGATGTTGGCGTGGGGAGAGAACTGGCTGATGCGCAGGAAGTGGGGATAAGGGGGGGGGTTCATTTTCAGGCTGGTGACCCATGACCAGTCAGGGGCTTCCCCACAGGGATTGGTGCTGACGCTGTGACACATTGCAATATGTTATCAATGAGTTCAATCACAGAAGGACTGTAGCCAAATCCGTGGACGTCGCCAAAATAGGAGGGGAGGCAAGTTGCAAGGGACACGGATGCTCCACAGCGAGGTATTGCTAGGTTACGCTGGTAGGCAGGAGGAGTATAACATGGGAAAATGCGAAGTTATATGTTTTGCAAGGGAGAACGAAACAGCAGATTATTACTGAAATGGGCGAAAGCTGCAACACCAGGGGACTTTGGGGGGGGGGGGGAGATGTATGGAACACAGAAAGCTAGCACACTGGAGCCAGCAGGGAATCAGGAAGGGCTAAGGGAGTGTCGGCCCTCACTTCGAGGGGATTGGAGTATGAGAGTAGGGAAGCCTTACCGCGACAGGGCAAGGTGTTGGTGAGATCCCATCTGGAGCACCGTCAGCAGTTTTGCTCCCTTTGTTTAAGGGAAGAGATCATTTTTATCGGAGGCAGTTCAGAGAAGGATCTCTCGGATGATTCCCGGAATGGAGGGACGGTCTTACGATCAAAAGCCAAACAGGTTGGGAGTTTACAACAATGAGAGATGATATGTGCAGTTCTGGTTATGCTGCTATAGCGAACCACGTTATGAAACTGGAGAGGGTTCAGAAAAGATTTATCAGGGTATCGCGGGGACGAGAGGGTTTGAGTTATAAAGAGAGGCTGGGACTTTTTTCACTGGATCGGAGGAGGTTGAGGAGTGACCTTATAGAGGTTTATAAAATCACGACGGGACAAGGTGAATAAGCAAAGGTCTTTTCCCTCGGGTGGGAGAGTTCAAAACGAGGGGGCGTATTTTTTGTTTTAAGTTGTGAGGAGAAAGATTTAAAAGGGAGGGGGGTAACTTTTTCACGCAGAGGGTGGTGCGTGTGTGGAACGAGGAAGCAGGTGGGGGGCTGGTACAGTTACAACATTTAAAAGGCGCCTGGATGGGGACATGGATATGAAGGGTTTAGAGGGATAGGGGCTGAATGCTGGGCAAACGGGGACCGGATTAATTTGGGAAACTTGGTCAGCATGGACGGGTTGAACTGAAGGACCCGTTTCCATGCCGTACGACTCTACCTCAGTGAGGCAGATGCTGGGTCCACGGTTTTTCATCATTTATATAAATGGTTTGGAGGTGAACAGGGGAGGAATGGTTAGTAGGTTTGCAGATGATGCCAAAATTGGAAGTGTAAGGAACAGCGAAGGGGGTTAACTCCAGAGTACAACAGGACCTCGATCAGATGGGCCGAGGAGTGGCAGATGGAGTTTAATTCAAATAAATGTGAGGCAGGCGCTGCATTTTGGATACAGGCAAACCAGGGCAGGACTTACACACTTAATGGTGAGGGCCTGGGGAGTGTCGCTGAACAGAGAGACCTCAGGGGGTGCAGGTACATAGTTACATGAAAGGGGGGGCAGGTAGACAGGGCGGTGAAGGTGGTGTTTGGTACGCTTGCCTTTATTGGTCAGTGCATTGAGTACAGGAGTTGGGAGGTCACGTTGGGGCTGTACAGGATGTTGGTTTGGTCCGCTTTTGGAATACCGTGTACAATTCTGGTCTCCCTGCTACAGGAAGGATGTTGTGAAACTGGAAAGGGTGCAGAAAAGATTTACAAGGATGTTGGAGGGTTTGAGCTACAGGGAAACGCTGAATAGACTGGGGCTATTTTCCCTGGAGCAACAGAGGCTGAGGGAGGTAACCTTACAGAGGTTTATAAAATCATGAGGGACATGGATAGGGTGAATAGCCAAGGTCTTTTCCCCCCAGGGTAGGGGGGAGTTCGAAACCGGAGAGGCTTTGGTCGATGGTGAGAGGAGAAAGATTTAAAAGGGACCTGAGGGGTAATGTTTTCAACGCAGAGAGTGGTGCGTGTGTGGAATGAACTACTAGATAGAGTTTATATGCAGGTACAATTACAGCATTTAAAAGTCATTTGGACAGGTACACGAATAGGAAATGTTTAGAGCAATATGTGCCAAACGTAGGCGAGTGGGACTATTTTAGTTTGTGAAACTTGGTCAGCATGAACAGGTTGATCCAAAGGGTCTGATTCGGTACTGTATGACTCTAGCCCATTGATGGGGGGGGGGGG